AGTGTTCAAAATGCCCTAGTTACTATATAAATACATCTCATTCGGGGTCTTCCTCTCCTGTGCTGTCCCTCCACCCTTCCGAGCATCTCCTGACTACGTGCCCAAAGTATATGAGATGGAGCTTCAAAATCCTAGCCTTCAAGGAGAAACTTGGTTTCACCCTCTCCAAGACAGACCTGTTTTTTTCTTGGTGGTTTAAAGTATGTTCAAGACTTTTCTCCAGCACCTCAATTTGAAGGAATCGATTCTCCTTCTGTCATCCTTACTCATTGTCCAGCTGTCAGGTGCATAACAATTAATTGGAAAGACTGTGGCCTGGATTAGTAGCACTTCAGTCTCTAGACTGACATTGTTACTTTTTTAGCACTCTGGAGAGGTCCCTGACAGCAGATTTTTCCCAATGCAATTCGTCTTTTGATTTACTGATTGCTGGTGTAAAGAGTGCTGATTATGGAGTCAAGCAAACTGTTAATTATTAACAACCTCAATCTCTTCTCCATCCATCATGATGCTGTCAATTGGCCCAGAGGTGAGAATCTTTGTTTTTTTGATGTTGAGCTTCAATCCACATTGAAGACTATAGTCCTTGACCTTCTGCAGGAAGTGCTTCAGGTATGCTCAGTTTCAAAGCAAGCAAGATTGTGTCATCTGCACAGTGTAGGTTGTTGATGAGTCTTCCTCCAATCCTGTACAGTCCAATACATTTACACACACACACACACACACACACACACACACACAAACACACACATGCATAAATAGATGAAACATGGTCCCAGGAATTTATGGCATACCAATTGACATATTTCAACAAACAGATGCTTCCATGGACACACTCACCAAGTTGTGTCAAGAAATCTGGAAGACAACTACCTGGCCAGCAGACTGAAAGAAGTCCATATTTATTCCCAGTCAGAAAATAAGTGAGTCAACATAATGTAGAAATTATTGAACAATATTATTAATATCATATGCAACCAAGATTCTGCTAAAGGTTCTTGAAAAACAACTGGAAAAGTACATCAACAGAGAACTGTCAAATATGCAGGCTGCGTTTGGAAGAGGCCTTGGCAATAGGGACATTATAGCCGATGTTGAATGTTAGTTAAAAGCAGAGAGTAAAAGAGGAATGTCTGTCTGTGTTTCATTGTGCAAAGGTATTTGACTGTGGATCACAACAAGTTGTAGCTAACCTTGAGAGGAATGTGAATCCCATAACGCTTGATGATCCATATGAGAAACTTGGACCAGGGGGCAGTCATCAAAACAGTAAGGAAACACTGCATGGTTCACAATCAGAAAAGGTGCATGCTATGTTAGTACCTTTACATCTGTGGAACATATCTTCTAGGAGGCTAGACTTTATGAGGAGGAACATCGCATTAGGATTGGAGGACAACTCATCAACAATGTGAGTTATGCAGATGACACAACCTTGCTTGCTGAAACTGAGGCATTTGCTGTAGAAGGTCAAAGACTTCAGCCTTCAATATGGATTGAAGCTCAACATCAAGAAAACAAAGATTCTCACCACTGGGTCAATTGGCAACATCATGATAGATGGAAAAGAGATTGGGATTGTTGTTAACCATTAGCTTCAGCTTGCTTGGCTGCACAATCTTGGCACCAGCAGCTATGAAATAAAAAGATTTATTGCATTAGAAAAATCTGCTGTCAGGGACCTCTCCAGAGTACTAAAAAGCAACAGTGACCAAGCCATGGTCTTTGCATCAGAGAGCTGGACAATGATTAAGAATGATTGAAGGAGAATTGATGCCTTTGAGTTGTAGTGCTGGAGAAGGGTGTTGAACATAACTATGGATTGCTAAGAGAACAAACAGGTCTGTTCTGGAGAGAGTGAAACAAAGTTCCTTGGGAAGCAAGGATTTTGAAGCTCCATCTCACATACCTTGGGTATGTTGTTGAGAAGGATCAGTTTTTGGAGAAGGACATCATGCTTGGAAGTATGGAGGTTTACAACACAGGAGAGGAAGACCATGGATAAGATGGATTGACTCAGTGATTGGGGTTAAGTGTGTAGGAGACAATGAAATTGTCTCAAGATAGAGAAGGATTCAGAGCTGTTGTACAAGGTGTTACTACGAGTCAGAAGCAACTCGATGGCACATGACATCAACAACAACATACCTATATACATACATACATAATAGTTTTTATGTGTCATTGAGTTGGAACCAACTCATAGTTGGCCTTCCAATGGGTTTTTAGAGGCAGTTAATCTTATTAGAGGCGATTGCTGATTAATTCTAACCTCATCGCTTTGGTTTGGCAATATTACTCTTTACCTTTTACACACACACACCCACACACCCACACACCCACACACGAGCTCTGGTGGCCTAGTGGCAAGAAGCTCTGTTGCAACCCCCAAATCCAAAGGCATGCAGTTCAAATTCCACCAGCTACTCCACAGAAGGATGGGCAATTGCCTCGGAAAACCCACGGGAAGGTCAGCTATGGGTCGGTTCCAACGCTACCGTACAACAACAACATACACCCACATGTGCACACTCGCAAATCCATTTCAGTGTTATCCATAATTTATTAGGATCCACGCAGTTGAATGTCTTTGAATAATCAACTTTTTTAGGATATCAAAATAAACTATTCTAAAAATATATAGAAAAAAATTGGCATTAATAATCTTGTCAGCAATGTAGAAAATTTATGTTACATTCCTGCCAATTCATTCCTTTGTTTATTTACATAGTTATCCTAGTAAACAGCATCATACAATTTTACTCCAATTTGATTCTTTTTCTATTTCATACTACAGCCGTACACTGGATATATTAGTAGGTTACTGGCATAAGCATCATCTCGGTGGCTGCAGAGTGGAACCACCCAACACAGTTCTGGAGTGACCTAATACATTCTTTTGCACAGATATAATTTATTTAACCATTCCTTCATTTTTGGACACTTTGTTAAGTCGCACTCTTTCTCTTATTTGTAAATAATGGTGATTTGAATACATTACTATAAGAACAGTGTGGAAAAAAAACTCCAAACCTATTTACAAAACCCCTAATAGGAGGTATTAGAAAAAGTGATAACCCCCCTGTGCTCCTAACCCAAAGATGGGACCTCTCTATTAGTTTGAATCCATCAACAGCTCCTCAAGAGAAACATGGGCGATCGCCTCTGCATGATGTACAACCTTGTAAACTCAATGGAGGGTTAGCTGTGAGGCTTTTCTGACTCTATGACAATGAGTTTTGTTTTGTTTCACTTTAATTTCTTTTTTTAAAATTTCATTTTCAAATGAATTTTTTAAAAATAGTAAAAAAAACTAGTGAAAAGTTAAGAACAAAATAACTTACTAAATCACCTTGAAAGAAAAGCCTGGTGAGAGCTCATCTGTTAAAAACCATCTGGATGACAATTCTGCTCTGGCACAGGTAGAGAAAATCACCGTTAGTCAGAATTAACAGCACCTGGTAATAACGAATGATACAATTTTGCTTAACTGTGGTTCTCAGACTGTAGAATATGAATATCTTGTTCTGTAAAAATTTTCTAATCTTTAAAATGTATTTTACATATTTTAATAAAGATGTAATAAATAGATTCAATATCTTCACAAACTAATTCTTTGGGGGAAATAAAACCTTTGGTGGCTACTTCCACTATTCCATATTTGGTAACACATTACCAAGCTTTAATCTTGAGACAAGATAGTACATATTTTCATTGCTCTAATTATAGTAAACGCTGAAAAAACTAGAACCTGTGTAAGGCAAAGTCCTCCCCAAGAGGAAAAAAAATATCAAATCTATTCCCCTAATAGGAGGTATTAGAAAAAGTGATAACCCCCCTTTGAGGGTTAGGAAACATGCGAGACCTGGGGAAAAAACACCAAAAAACAAGGCAGGTGTTTAACCTCTCACAGGTTATACTTTAATACTTACTTGTATATTTTTCTGATTATGTGTCCGGAAACAATGTTCAATTAATTTGTGCAAATAATTTTAGCATATCTTCAGTGTATAATTTATATTGTTAAACTTCTAAACTACTTGCATATTTCTTTCACAAGATATATCTTGGAACCTCAGGATAAGTGATCATATATGCCGCATTCATTTTTCTCTATCTTTAGGAAATGGAGTTGTTCTTTCCTTCAAGTGGAGGTTGTGGGCCGGCAAACACTGCTAAATTTACTAATTGCACCTGTTGCATTATTAAGCCCCATGCTATCAGTGAAGGTAAGTACTATTTTGAATATGTTCAGTACATTTTGATAATAGTTTAACTTGTAGCTAAAAAATGATTTTAGCATCTGTTGTTGTTGTTACGTGCCATCGAGTTGCTTGCGAATCATAGCGACCCTATTTACAACAGCCCTAAACTCTGCTCTGTCCTGTGCCAATCGCACTGTCTCCGACACACCCATAACGATTACCCCAGTCACTGAATCAGTCCACCTCATAGAGGGCCTTCCCCTCCTGTGTTGGTCCTTCCACCTTACCAAGCGTGATGTCCCTCTCCAAGGACCCGGCCCTCCTGGCAACATGTCCAGAGTATGTTAGACGAAGTCCGAGAATCCTTGCCTCCAAGGAGCAGCCCGGTTTAACCCTTTCCAGGATGAATCTGTTTGTTTTCCTAGCAGTCCATGGTACCCTCAATACTCTTCTCCAGTACCACAGCTCAAAGGCATCAATTCTCCTCCTTTCTTCCCTAGTCATTGTCCAGTTCTGATGCATAGCAAGTGATTGCAAAGAGCATGGCCTGTATCAGATGCACCCTGGTCTCCAGAGAGACACCATTGCTCTTCAGAACTTTGGAAAGGTCCCTAACAGCAGAATTTCCTGGCTACTGGTGCAGAGATTGTTGACTATGGAGCCAAGCAAACTAAAGCTGTGAGCAATCTCAATCTCTTCACCATCCATCCTGATGCTGCCAATTGGTCCAGTGGTGAGAATCTTTGTCTTTTTGACATTGAGCCTCAATCCATATCGAAGGCTGCAGTCCTTGACCCTCTGCAGCAAGTGCTTCAGGTCCTCCTCAGTTTCAGCAGGCAGGGTTTGTATCATCTGCATAATGCAGATTGTTGACAGATCTTCCACCAATCCTGATACCACATTTCTCCTCATAGAACCTAGCCTCCCAGATAATCTGTTCAGCATACAGGTTGAAAAGGTATGAAGATAGGACACATCCCTGGAATACGCCCTTCCCAATTTTGAGCCATGCAGTGTTTTCCTGCTCTGTTCTGAGTACTGTCTCTTGGTCAGGTTTCGCCTTAGCATGATCAAGTGTTCTGGGATTCCCATTCTTCTCAGAGTCAGCCAAAGTTTGTTAATGCTCCACACAGTCAAATGCTTTTGCATCTATTAAGCAAATGATTTATATTGTGAAGCTCTGAGTACTTCTTCCTCCACCTCACAAAATATATTTTGGGACTTCAGCTTAAGGATCACATACATTAAGTTATTGATATTGGCTGTTAGGTCTAGTTGTGAGAATTTTTGTTTTCTTAATGTTGAGATATTATTCATCTTCAAGGTTGTAGTTTTTATCTTTTGCAGCAAGTGTATCAGGTCCTCCTCACTTTTCACCCAGCAAGGTTGTATCACCCGCCTAACATAGGTTGTTGATAATTCTTCTTTCTGTACAACAGCAAGTTGTTGTTCTTCATAGAATCCATGTTCTTAAATTATTTGCTCAGCATACATACTGAATAGGTATGGCGAGACTGTTCAACCTTACTTTGTAAAGACAATAGCTCTTAGTCCAGGTATGGATTTTGGATAAGCACAGTTAAATGTTCTAGGATTCCCATTTTTCTCAGTGTCAGCCACAACTTATTATAATCCACACAGTCAAATGCCTTTGCAAAAATAAACATTCTTCTGGTATTCTTATTTTTTTTTTTTTAGCCATGATCCATCTGACAGAAAGAAGTGACAAAATGTGAGGGAAAATCTGTCTAAAACTTTATCCTTTTATCTTAATTTTTATATCAGTGACATTTTTAGAATATGTTCTTGAGTTGTTAAAAGATTGATTCTTTAACTCATAGTCTACCTCCTCATTTCCAAACTGATAACTCTAATTCATTTAAATAACACTCCTAATGTACATTATCTACTACATTTATAGTATTCTGATTTTGAGAAAGTAGGATTTTCTTTATCTCCAAATGAAAAGTTCCTTAACTGATATACTATGTTCATAATATATATATATATATACATAATATATGCATGTATGTATGTATGCATATATGCTTATGTGAAGGTTATTACTTCTAACAATTCTTCTTTAGTGATCTCAGCAATGCAGAGTAGAATTGCTCCATATGGAGCTGTGTTCATTCAGATGCCGATTGCCAAGTCTTTCTTCCAAGATACCTCTTGTTGAGCTTCAACCTCCCACCTTTTAGCTAGTGTTCCAATGTTTAACTGTTTGTTCACCTAAGACTCCCCCCTCTCTTCATATGTATGCATGTATACACGCACACACTCTTACATATATGTATGTGTGTGTGGCTAGATAGAAACACAGAGATCAAGTTTTCTTATCTTGATTGTCGTTTCAGTTTCTTCATCTATTTTAGATAGTTGTATTCATTTCTTTTAGCTATCTCTAATCCTTTAGAAGTAACATCAAGTATTTTAAAATCACTCATATGGCACTAGAATATACTAGATAAGAAATAGCATTTATGAAATTTACCTTTTAGTTTTATGTTTTCTTAGTGTCAGAATTGAATTGTGTTTCCCAAAATATGCGTCACCTTGGCATGCCCTGATTCTCAGTGATGTAACAGTTATGTAATAATGCAATCATTCCCATGATGTGATCAGCCCTGAGTTGATGTAATGGGATTAGAGTGGGATGTGACCACTATTAATCAGGTCATAACCCAAATCCCATGTGAGAGGAGTTTCCCTGGAGGGTGGCCTGCATCACTGTTTATCTTATGAAAGAAAAATGGAGACCAGAACAGAGCAAGAAAGACCTCATTACCCCAAGAAAGAAGAACTTGTAGTGGTGGAGCATGTCCTTTTGACCCAGAGTCCCTGTACTGAGAGCCTTCTCTAGGCAGGAGAAACACACACACACAGAAAGAGAGAGATTTCCTCTGGAAGTGGCACTCTGAATTCAGGCTTGTAGCCCCCTGTGAAACTGTGAAAGAATAATTTTCCACTGGTTGAAACAATCCCCTTGTGTTATTTCTCTGATAGCAGCACTAGATAACTAAGACATTAAGGATAAAAGTAATTCAGAAATAAAGTAGGAAATTAAAAAAATGTAGAAAGATTACCTATTTTCCTAGTATCCAGAGATAATAATTATTAATATTTTGATGCTTTCTTCTAAATTATTTTCCTCTTATTTCTGTGTGTATGTGTACACCTATATGCAGTTATGTATGTGACTGTGATGTAAGTTTGTAGCTTGTTATTTTCATTAGTTTTCAAAAAACTCTTAATTCTTCATGAATATTAACGGTACAATGTGAAAATATACCATATACAGATATAGATGTTTTGTTATTTAGGTTTATAATTTTTTTATAGCAAAAATAAAATTTTGACAAATATCTTTGTGCACAAATGTTTGATAATATCCCTAATCATTTTTCCTGGCTATTCTCCTAGAAGTAGAATTATTAGCTGAAAGGATATGAACCTTAACATCTTGTTGCATAATTAATACTTCTTTAACTATTCAGGAAATACTTTAATATTTTATAGATCCTTTGGACAATAATTAAAGAGAACTAACAAAAATGGTGAAGGTAATTAGGCAAAGTGCAGATTAGGGTCTGTGTCATAGCAGCCAAACCAAACACGACAAGATGAGTGGTGGGCAAGAAGCACTTAAGGGAAACATGCCACCCATGCCAGGTAGAGGCCTGAGTGCCTTCTCCAGTGTCTGCTTTAGTGTTCATGGCAATCATATCTCATAGGTCAAATTGTAAGCTAAGTCTCCATGAAAGTAATTTGTTGTTGTTGTTGTTGTTGTTATGTGCCGAGTCGCTTGTGACTCATAGCAACCTTATGTACAAAAGCCCTAAACCATGCTTTGTCCTGTGCCAATCGCACTGTCTCCAATACACCCATCCCGATTACCCCAGTCACTGAATCAATCCACCTCATAGAGGGCCTTCCTCTCCTGCGCCGTCCCTCCACCCTTCCAAGCATGATGTCCCTCTCCAAGGAACTGTCCCTCCTTACAACATGTCCAAAGTATGTTAGATGAAGCCCCAGAATCCTTACCTCCAAGGAGCAGCCCGGTTTAACCCTTTCCAGGATGAATCTTTTTGTTTTCCTAGCAGTCCATGGTACCCTCAATACTATTCTCCAGCACCACAGCTCAAAGGCATCAATTCTCCTTCTATCTTCCCTAGTAATTGTCCAACTCACTGATGCATAACAAGTGATTGCAAAGACCATGGCCAGTATCAGACACACTCTGGTCTCCAGAGAGACACCATTGCTCTTCAGAACTTTGGAAAGGTCCCTAACAGCAGACTTTACCATGGCAATACGTCTTTTAATTTCCTAGCTACTGATGCTAAGAGTGTTGACTGTGGAGCCAAACAAGCTAAAGCTGTGAGCAATCTCAGTCTCTTCACCATCCATCCTGATGCTGCCAATTGGCCCAGTGGTGAGAATCTTTGCCTTCTTTACATTAAGCCCCAATCCATATTGAAGGCTGCAGTCCTTGACCCTCTGTAACAAGCACTTGAGGTCCTCCTCAGTTTCAGCAAGCAGGGTTGTGTCATCTGCATAATACAGATTGTTGATAGATCTTCCGCCAATCCTGACTCTAAATTTCTCCTCATAAACCTAGAGTTGCTATAATTAAGGATGCTTTGTTGTTGTTCTTATGAGTTGCTTAGGACTCATAGCAACCCTATGTACAGGAGCCCTAAATGCCCTTCTATCCTGTGCCAACCTCACCATCTCAAACACACTCAATTCCCACCACTCCACTCAAAGAATCGATCCATCTCATCGAGGGTCTTCCTCTCCTGCACCATCCCTCCACTGTCCCAAACGTGATGTCCCTCTCCAAGGACCAGTCCCTCCTTGCAGTATGCCAGTATGTCAGATGAAGCTTCAGAATCCTTGACTCCAAGGACCATTCTGGCTTCACCCTATCCAGGACAAACCTGCTTGTTCTCCTAGCAGTCCATGGTATATTCAACACTCTTCTCCAGCACCACAACTCAAAGGCATCAATTCTCTTT